GTCGTAGTTTCAACACAGTATTGAGGACTCGTGACCTTGAACAATTTGTCGAGAACTCGGAACGCTTCAAAATACCTTATCTCACAGAGCGCAAATTTGTCATACGGCTCATAAGTATCTAGGTTGCATAATTCAGATGGTTAAATGATAATTAGTTATTGTTTTCCATGAAGGTATGACCTAAGGGACAGGTTTGTCTTGAAGTTACTTAAATTCAAACAGAATATACTTACGAACGTGTGAACGTAAATAATTTATGTCTTAATAACGTTCTTTGCGGTCTCCATGGAGTACTACCAACTGAATGATGATCGACATAGATATGTCGGAAGTTCTTCTACAAAAGTAACGACTACAAAAGGGTGGACGTCTATAAGGAGCTTTTTTGGCCCTGAAAATTACAAAAATTTGAAGTTTATCGCATCTATGATATTTTTGTATATATATTTATATGAGTGCAAATTTCTAATTTAAATCCATGATAAAGCACACCGAGATATAAAACATACAAAGCAATGAAAGTGTTATGCCACTACGCTCATATAAAAATATTAAAATAAATCTTCGAATATTGGTGAATACTGGCGGAAAATGCTAAAATTGCAAACTTTGCACTTTTAAAGAACGATCAAGTATTATCGTAAAAATATTAAGGAAAACTAAAAATACATGTGTTCTGAAAAATTAAATACAAATATTTCATAGATGTAATGAATCTGAAATTGAATTAGCTTTTAGGGCAGGAATAGACACAGTCTTCAATTTGTCAACATAATTATGTAAAACAAGTGACTAATTAATGAAATACATATTGTAAAAGAAAAAAAACACTAGCAAAAAGTTTCATTTTCAAAATGTATACTTTAATTTATCATTTTGTCTAGCTTTCGCCTGCGGTTTCACCCGCGTGGTCCCTAAGGAACTATTTAGTAGGATTAAAAGTATCAACTAATGCCCTATCCGTATACCAAATTTCAAACAAATCCGTTCTGTAGTTTCGGCGTGATTGACGGACAAACATCCAAACAAAGAAATTTCACATTTATGTCATTAATAGAATTACAATTAGTGGTCAGTACTAAAATCTTTCATAAAAAATATACAAAAAATAACTTACTAACGCCATCTGTGCAGTTTCACCACAGTTTTATACTATATATTTATCCCCTTGAAGATAGAATTGATGAAAATCCTTTCTTATGGGATGCCTACGTCATAGTAGCTTAATGCATGCAAAGTCTCAGCCCGATCGGATTAAAATTGACAAAGTTTCATACAAACTTTCATCCCCTATTTTATCCCCTTGGTGGTAGAATTGATCAAAATTCTTTCTTAGCGGATGCCTACGTCATAACATCTAACCGCATGCCAAATTTTAGCCCGATCCGTCCAGTGGTTTGGGCTGTGCGTTGATAGATCACTATGTCAGTCAGTCACCTTTTTAGAAGATGAACTGAATTTTCCTACAAGAATTTACCTTGGCAAATAATATATTTTTAACTTTATATTTTTATTGCCTTTGTGTAAAGCTAATGCAATACTTCATGTTTCTTACTGAAGCACGAACTTACTAAAGAAATTATATTTATATACACCTACGTAATGTCTTTTCAGTAGAATATAATATCCCTATATCCACCTATAATATTTAGTATATCTATTACGCACTAAAAAGTAAGTGCCTTTTTTGTAATATTATTTTTTTCACGTATACCATATATTATATATTTTATTTTCCCTCTTACAAAGACGTCGTCGTACTTCAATGAATTTATTTGCAAAAAGTGTGAATTTCTAACCAAAAAGAAGAAAAAAACAAGAGAAAAACGCATACTCGATGAAAAAATGTAGATGGCTACAAAAATAAATTCAGAATCTGAATAGCCGAAGAGGTTGAAACCCACAGAACATCTATGTTCTGTGTGAAACCTGAATAGTAATAGTAAAATTAAGGTTTTCATTAATATAACTTTCACATTAAACCAGATAAGAAAAGTCCAGTAAATATTCAAAAAGCGTTTTTTATCAAATAACGAGTCAGAGCGAATCATTACAAACAATAAAACACAGTAATAGGTATTTAATCAATATTGAAGATTTTAGTGAATATCTACATACATATAACTACACATTGTCTATTCTTTACACGTGAAATTAAACAAACATTAAATAATTCTTAAAAACAATGTTATACTTAATCGGTGCACAGAACAACATATCAGGTTACCAAAATATTTCAAATTTCTGAAATCAACTTTCAACTACACTTTCAACATTTAAGGTTTAGAAGTTTGTTAAAAAAATTGGTAAATTAACTAAAAAAACTCGAAGTAAACAAAATTGAGCAACAGAGCCATCTGTTGAAACCCCTGGCATTACGTGAGCGGTGGCTTTCTGTATACCTATTAAAGTTGAACTCTAAAGCAATCGGCAATACCGACTGTACACAATATCAGATAGATGGCATTTCAATGCTCAAAAAAAATATATAGATAGAACAATTTACAGATAAAATTTTATCGTTAAAAGCGATCTCTTCCAGACAACCTCAATTATCGGAATATGTAAAAAGAGCGTAACTATATTAATACGAAAATATATATGAATACAACATATATATTTTCGAAATACATACATTACACTGAATCACCTGCTTCTGCTGAGCATAGAGAAAAGTAAGCTAGTTCTACATACTGCACCGTAGTATGTAACAAATAAAATATGTATGTATGTATTTTTGTGATGCGGTACCTAGTTATTATTGTCATCATTACCATTTTTACTTACAACCTGTATATTTTAACCTTTTCTTTTGTAATAAGAATGATTTTATTGTGAGTTCACCGGAAAATTGGTGACTATAAATTGGATTGAATTTTTTATAGCGTATTGTTTATATTTTTCAAGTATTTCACTATTACCTACAATAACTGCGTGATTATGAATTACTTATAGTAATTATGTTTCATTGGCTCTAAAAAGCCACTCTCGTTACTCATTATGAAGTGACGTAGGTTATCACTAGAACTTGAAAAACATTAGGTACAATAAGTGAAACATATCCCAATATTAGCGTGCCCCATATTGCCGACTGCACAATATCAGCAAATACTTTTATTTGAGATATTATAAAGATAGTTTCTGTGCACGAAATTACTAAGATTTTTAAGATTTCCTGACTTGGATTCTAACCGCGGTGCGACCGGCTAACTCTTCAGCAATAACATATACTTTAACGAGAAGAACTTTAAATTTTGTATAATGACGTTGTAATGGTGATATTTAGTTTGATTTCACTATTTTTACGCATCTTTATATATTTTACGTATCTTTATATCTTTTGATGGTCTTCTGGTGAGGTTCGTAACACCTTTGTCACATCCATAATCATCATTCTTTGTCATTCGTTCGTCGTTATTTAGTACACGGACAGAAAGTGGACAGGAAAATGAGGAAGTATTAAAAAAAACGAAAGCACTAAAAAAGCACCTCCACTAAATGACGACCTTAGCAAATATGATTTTTGCAGGAAACGAATGGATCAAAGACAGTCACTTCCGTTCCTATTAACTAACATATAAAAAAACTGGATTTTGAAAAGTTCGAAACTGAGATATCAATACAAGTACGAAAAGTACATTAATCAATATACATATATCAATTAGTTTTATCGAATGAAATCAATTTGAAAATATTTTATTCATAAAATATTATCTGTCCTAGCAAACTGTGTACAGTTGAAAAGAATTTTCTGAATGCATCCTGTAACACGAACAATTTATAATTAATACAGAACATTTTTATTCAAAACACATTTACTTATCTAATTATAAAAAGAAAACACATGATGAAATCAGTTCAATATTTATTTGTTTTATTTCGCAGATTTACACTATTAAATTTCCATGTTGTCTTACCTATTCATATATAAATACAAAACTACTATATTTACTATTATTCACTCGCTATTCTCTTACACATTATGAGTCTTCTTTAAACAATATTAATAATGTATACATACGCATTTATTTCTTTAATTATACTTAGAATTCAATAAATTATATTTTAGTGATGTGGATTATATTATTCAAGTTATCTTCAATATGACCAATTCCGCTGCTTTCTTTCGCCCCATCACGAGTATTAGTTAAAATTGCTTCATTGACATTTTCTCTCGTTTTTTTATTGATCCTAAGTAGTATCGTTTATTATATTTATTAATATCTCAGAAAACAATATAAAATTTAAATGTTAAACTAGAAGATTTCATTGCCATCAACATTTTGTCATCTACGACTTAAAACAATAATAATAAGTCGAATTAAAAAGTAACTTACCCTTTTATTAATAACAATGCAAAGATATTGTTTACTGGTGCTTCAAAGAAGAGCCACAGAATCAAAGCGAAAAAGGTGCTGATCCAAATGATTCCCAACGACATCAGGAACTGAAAAAAAAATTATATTAAATTATTATTCGTATCTCTCCTAATCGTCAATATTACGCGAATGAGTAATTAGATGTGCCGTGCCGTGGTTATGCCTATTTTTTTTTTAATCAATTGTGTAATCACGTGACATCAGCTCTTCATCACTCTCACTCAAAAAAAAAGTTAATACAGCACACAATTGGCAGGAGACTAGGCATCTCCTATCATCGCGTAAGTAAACAGTTAAGATTAAAGCTGAGATTGAAGAGCTGTCGTTAAATATCTAGTTCACAGCTCGCAACACACAATCTAAACATCGCCACGGTTGTGGCTATAATTTTAAAATATACTGTACAAAGTCCTTCAACCATTGCTCTCTATATTATATTACGAGGTTGTCATCTCTTAGTATAATTAATATAAAATGAAATGAAACATAACATCTGGCAGTCTAGTGTGTTATCTGTAATCTATAGGAATGGCCACTAACAAAATGTCTGCGTCTTCCGTCTTGGTACCAGTCACACAATAGGTAGTGTACTCGAACGAAATTGCATCGCCTGTCTGTCACCAATGACATACGTCACACCACATCATTTGAACGCAGACAAATAAAGTAAAGAAAATGAATCATATTTGTTTTAATGAAAACTTACAATATTAAAATTGTCATAGTACAAAGACTGTCTGGAAATGCCAACGTTCCTTATGATGATTATGTAGTGGACAAGATATATTCCGTAAGCTAAACGGCTGAGTGGCACCCATGGATACCATTCTAAGAAACTGTTCACCAGTGCTGTAAAAAAAATTAATACAGTTAAGTAATAGGCAAGATGATATTTTCTTTATTTTATAAATAAATAGTCCATTAATGTCTAATAAATAATGTAGAAGTTCATGTCTGCAATTAATAGTTTCGGAGATATAACGGTGCTGTTTGTGGAACTGCTGCTAGTCAGCCGAAAACGCTCCCTATAAAGTCAAGGCGCTAAGTGACGTCAGACAGTGCTACGGTAGAGAAAAACGTATGGGCGTCTGGGCAATCTTTGTTGTTTGTGCGTTTATGTTTATAACTGTTAAAATGACAGTTGTAACGTTTTATATAACTAATTTAATGTCATATGTATTTTAGCAAATTTTTGTAGTATATTATCCTTACTTTTTTCAAGTTTTCAAATCGTAATACCGTAACACTTTTAAATTACTACAAAAAAAAAATGCGCCACTCAGAAAAAAATTATTTACAAAATTATCATATATATATATAATATATATAAATAATTAAATCAAAAATGATTACAACTGTGCTAATATTATTCACGCGTAATACTCGTAATAGATAACTGCTAGCTGTAGTAAAGGACCTCTCCCACAGGGAGACCGCACTCCCACACCTGCACCCATGCCGCTTGCATGTGCACTGTGCACGCTCAGCTCAAACATCTAAACAGTTGCAAACTGTTATCTTCCGAGGTGTATGTATGCTTTTTTCGTCTGCTACTTGTTTACTGTTACTGACGCGATGGCTTATCAGTTTTCATCTCGGGATAATGTGGCTTTGCTATAATTTACGACGAATGCATTAACTATTTTCCATGCTAGATACCCTGTGCATGGAAAATATCGTAGTTAATTCAACTGGATTATATAGTGATATAATCCAGTTGAATTAACTATTAACCCCGATTCCTAGCCCGCAGTAGACAACTCATGCGCCTTTCGATTAATTTAGAAGAAGAAAAAATTTGTAATATAAAAATTGTTACTCACGAACTTTACCAAAGCAGCAAGTTAGTATAATTATTGCAACACCAACTGCCCAAACAGGCCTGTTCAGCATCACGTATAGAGTGCCCTCCAGCTGTGAATAGTTCCTGTGCTGGTATGATACTCCAAGGAAAGCTGTGAGTACCATCACTATAAAACCTACAAAGACGTAAATCAAAGACTTTGCCTGAAATAAAAAAATAAAAATAAGTAAACACTCGTTCTGTTAAATGTCGCACTTATGAATTCGTCTGGCATAAAAGGGCAGATAGAATATGAGCCGATTTTCTTCGAACCCTGTGTTTTAATCACTGATTCTAGTAAACCGTTCCTATAAGTCACAGATCCACAGATCCACAGATCCAGTATGTCCAGTATCTGCTAGGCACGTGCTACGGTTAGGTAATAGATTATCTTGTAGCATTTACTTCGAAATTACTGAGTTTTCTACTGAATATTAAAACTTTTTTTATAATACGTAAGGTACGGACTTCAATATATGTCCGTTTCAAGAATACATATTGATGAAATTAAGACGAATTTCAAGAAACTGCCAGTACCAGCAATGGATACTAATTAGGATTATCACCACTACAATCTTGGATACTTTTTTTTAAATATTTTAATATATTTCATATAGAAGATAGGGCTATTCAGTTGAGATGACTTAATGACGACGGCACTTCTTACTGGATCCTTCCCCCAAAAGAGAGAGTGTGCACGGAAGGCGGTAAGTTGGTATGCTATCCGCGTTTTGTATAGCCTTCGGGCGAGTCCGTGCCGATTTAGAGCCCTACAAATCTCCTGTTGACTGTCAAGCGGCTGGAGTAGTGCATAAAACATTCCCTTACGTCAAACAAAAAAGTTGAAATGAGTCAGATGAGAGTGATAAGCATATTTAGCTAGTGTAAAACAACATTTTTCCACCCAGTTTAGGGAACAATTAAGTTTGATAGGTAACAGGTTTAGAAGTGGTGTAAGTGAAACGTAGCACAACGGAGTCACGGCTAAGACGTGAAATAAACGGGTACTAGCAGGGCCTTAACTATCTGACTGCCCTTATATGGAGCTTGTCCCATTGCTATAATTTTTAATTTGAATAGAATTAAATCAAACAGGGAAAATCGACTATGCATGGACCACCGCGTGGGCCCTGTGCGAATTGGTGTAAGTGACTGAAGATGCAACCGGGACTATACGGCTGTCCCAGTTCAAAACCTAGTAACTGTTTTGGACTAAATTTTACAGGAGAGCAAAAAAACTCTTTTTAGGGTAGCTCTTTTAAACTATTTTACACCTGTTGAGAAATTATTCTTTACAAGAAGGAGTAGTTTGAAACTGTTAATTTGATATATAAATTATTTGTCTAAGTTTCATTCTACAAATTTTATGAGCTAAAATATTTTTAACAATTAAACGGCTAAGTAAAAATTGACTTCCAAAACCATTTCAAACCTAGTAAGTTCTCTTACTAGATTTTGATCTGGTTTAACATATTAGCTAAAAATCAGCTTATCCAGATCAAAAGCTGGTAAATTCAAATTTATACAGCCATTTACACATGTATTTGTGTTTCATTAGGCAGCATTCATTTGTTTTTTTTCTTCTATTTGTTCTATTTACGTCACCCAGTATTAAAAATGGAAAAATTGAAATATCGTGTTATTTACGAGTACGAGTTCCAGCATGGTACCAGTGCTGCGGAAACGGCTCGAAGGGTTAATGATGTATATGGCGGTTGTGTCGCAAAAGAAAACACAGTACGTTTTTGGTTCCAACGTTTTCGTTCTGGAAATTTCGAGCCTCATGGACGGCCGGAGACCCAAGCTTATAATGAAGAATTGAAGGGTATTGTGAAAGCGGATCCATCGAAAACCAAGTCCGAGTTAGCTGCAGGCTGCGGTGTTAGTCATAGAACTGTTTTAATCCACTTGAAGCAAATTGGAAAGATTAAAAAGCTTGAAAGGTGGGTACCTCACGAATTGAGAGAAGCAAACCGGTAAACGCGCTTCGACTGTGTTTTAACTGGCACAATAATGAAGGGTTTTTAAATCGAATCAATACCTGTGATGAAATTCGATTCTCTACGATAATCGGAAGCACTCATCGCAATGGTTGGACCTTGGCATGCCAGCCAAATCCTGCCCCAAACGAAAATTGACCCCAAAAAAATTACTTGTAAGCATTCGATGCAGTAGTGCCGGTGTTCATTAGAGTTTTCTCAAATCTGGCCAGACGATTACGGCAGACGTCTATTGTCAGCAAGTGCAAACCATGCTGGAAAAACTAGCTGTTAAACAACCGAGGCTGGTCAATCGCTCTACGCCACTGCTACTTCACGATAACGCTAGACCACACGTTGAACAACAGACGGCTACCAAATTAGAAGAGCTTCAATTGGAATGTCTAAGACATCCACCATACGCCCCGGACCTTGCTCCAAAGATTACCATTTTTTTCGAAATTTGGATAACTTCTTGCAAGAAAAAAAAATCAAGTCCGATGGGGCAGTGCAAATCGCCTTCAAAGATTTTATTGATTCCCGTCCGAATGGTTTTGTAGTAAGGGGATCAATGACCTACCTATGAGATGACAAAAGTGCATAGATAACAATGGTTTATAAAATAAATATAGTATATTAAAAAATATTCGATTTTTTGTTGATGCCATACCAAACACCAATTTCATATGTAAGGAACTAATATATTGTAATGGGAGCAAAACATTATATTTAAAGTTATTAAACGGCGACTTGTGATTTCATCTACGTGGACTCTTCGAGACTGACTGAGCTTTCGACTACCGACTATAAGTTGTGAACATTAACACATAATGTAGATTAAGAGATTGCTCATAATAACTCGGTACTATATTTCTCTCAGTGTAATTTATATATGCATATTTGTCCTGTTTAATTGAATAAATAAAATAAATTTAAGTCTTCTTTAGAATGAGTTTTTAATTTCCGCTAATATAGCTCCCAATAATTAATGTAATTTGAAATTATAGTGGTTTTAAGTTAAATACTCAAAGTGGGCATAAGTTTGGGAACCCCTGATCTAGTCTATGGTTCCTTTACTAATTTAACTTTTTCTTGATGTTTTTTTGTTTAGTCGAAATATCTTCTGGCACTTCAGTACCTTTATGTGTATTTCTCTTATATTTATCTTTTGGCATATTAAATGAAATATGAAGTCTTTTAATTGTTTGTCGATAAACTTCTACACTACAGCGAAAATCTTTACCTTTACTACTACTATAAACTTAGTTAGCAAAACTTAGTAACTCAATAATTAATTGTCTTACGAAAACCACAAAATATTGTTTCTATACATTTATTCACTTCATAACCCGGTAACTAGATTTGACAATTTCAAAAACCTAGTATGTGCTAACACATACTAGAGTTTTGAAATAGTTAAAGATACATACTAGGTTTTATAATGGTTAAAACTTAACTTATCATAAATTTAGAAGCACTTACTAGGTTTAGGGTACCCTTTAACTTTTGATAGAAATGAATTTTGATATAGGGCATTTTGGCATCTTGTGGGGACTTATTGGAAAACCACTTTTAACAAAAAAACACAATTTCTACTTTTTGTAGACTTACTAGGTTTTGAAATGGGACAGCCGTATACTTTAATGTACTGCCCGAAACATCGTGGAGCTGGATATAGTAAAATTTTGGTCACCCATCCTACGACCGTTATGATACCATCGTTACATTTAAAATAAAAAAATCTGTCTCGTTACAGAATAATAAATATCAAATAATTTTCAGGGAATATTAACAAGAATATGTCTTAATCACAAGCTTTCTTTTACTCAATGAATATGACAGTAATAATTTTACCCGACTGGGCAACGCAAAGGAGGGTAATGTGATTATGAGTCTATGTATATATGTTTGTTCTTTTATGGCATTGTGGAGACCAAATGGCTTGGCGTTTTTTGATGATTTATACGTCAATCGCTGCGTCTTAACCTTGCAAGTGTCACTAAATACACAACAGTAATCAAAACTCTTTTTTTAGGGTATCTCCCCTACATACCTATAAAGCGAGGATGATTTTTTATTTTTTCGATTTCCCTATAGTGTGAGATATTGTTGGATAGGTCTTTCAAAAATATTACAAGTGTACGAAGACCGTTTTTGATATAGTGAGCTGTTCCGAAATTATTAAGATTTTAAGTGCCAAGAACTACTTTGGACCGAGCTGTGGTTGACTTAAGTTCGCGAATTTTTGATGCCGAATTTGAGCCGAATTAGGTCTCTAGACGGACTAATAATCAGTAGTTTAGACCACTGCAAGTTGCTTAATAATCTTTACGCTATAAACTCCCTCAATGAAATGACAAGGTTGCGAAATTTACCGTCTTATATTTCTCATAACGAAGTCAATGAGAACTAACTATCTAAAGAGTGTAAAAATAAAACTTTATTTTAAAAAACAAAAAACTTGACTGCGTATAAACAAAATAAAGAAGTGAAACAATATATAATTACTTTCACTAAAAACTAAAAAGAAAAAAAAAACAAGCCCAGTAGTTTGGAATGTTCTTGAATACTACGAGTACTTAATAAATGCTCCATTGAAATAGTTTTAAAATTTATACACACACAAAACATATAATAAATTCAATAGCAGAATAGAAGGATCAACAGTCAGGACCCATTCCTTTTTGACCAATCAACGGCGCTCCGTATAATTTGAAACAGTCGGGTCCTTTTTTTTACAATTAAATTTTTACTTTCACGTTTATATTAAAAATATTACCTGTGTAAGCTTGAAATTTTCCATTGGTCTATATTTATTGAACAGACACCCTGCAATAAATCCAACTATGTAAGCCGCTGCCCTGTTGTGACTTTTTATGTAGAACATGTAAAACTGTTTATGGCTATGCTTATTCCACAGGAATCTATCAAATGAAGTTTCTGATTAGGTAATGTAGAAATACATTTATTGCAATATTCACTATTACATCTTACATCATATCACGCATTCAAAGAAAAAAAAATCTTTAAAAAACTTCTTAATTTCCACTTCTTACAAAAAAGTTGAAAACAGGAATATAATGCTATTGAAATCGGTTGGTGGTTTTCTGTAGGTCATTAATTAAATGTTAGGCACCCTAACTATTATTGATCCGATTTCAATAAAATTTTACAGTAATCGACTATTATTTACATAATTTACATCTTCATCATACAATCTTAACTGTGTAAAACATAAGCCTGGCATATAATATCAAATTGCCCACACCTTTTCTCAAAAGGGTTGCGTGAGGCTCGAAAGGGGGGGAAGGGATTCGTCAAAAATCACGAAATATCACAAGGGGGAGGGGGGATGTAGTAATATATCACGTGTATTTATTTTTTCCTCAAACGCGCGATTACTAAATCGAAAAGCGGCGTCAAAATATTAGCATTCTTTAAAGGTACTTATTATACACGTTACTTGAGTGGAGGGGGAGGGGTCGTTAGTTTTAAACCTCACCATGTATTTCAAAGGGGAGGGGGTTTAAAAAAATGCTAAAAAAAACATCACGTGATCAATGAACGGCAAATTACAGTGAAACATTGAGTTGAAATGTCACATGACATCACATCTTTGTACATTTTCTAATAGTTGTGACATAGTGAGCTCCCACTCCTCAACTTTAATGCCTATTATCTAAGTTATTAGCAAAATAAATCTGTATCGAATATTTTTCTATTATCAGACCGACTGACTAATTTGAATTTCTTGTTGTTTACCCAGGCATTATCCTTATTCTTACGGTATAGAACTTGTTCCATCCTGTATTTACTTACTCATATGTGAAGAGTTGTATGGGGTGAAATCCATTAACATAGTTGATAACTCCTGGTATAATAAGAGAGGCAGCAGCCAGAGCATAGAAAATGACTTTACCCAATCTCCGGCATCGTTTATAAAGCACGAACACAATCACAGCGATAACATAAAAGTGAAAATCACATGGAATGTACCAAGTCACCATCAAACACTGAAATGTATAAAAATATTTTTTCAGGTAGATAACACTCATTCAGTCTTTTGCCTGATAAGAACGAGCGAAAGAAATTCGCCAGTTCTAACAGAAATAACAACGTTTACAAACACCATGTCACAACCAAATCATTAGCAATATGAATTAATTATATATGTATAACAGACAACTAACTTTATAAGGCCACTTTCCATCAAAATATGATCGTTTGTAAATATGTATATATTTCCTTATTATTCTATTTTGAAGGGTTTTAACCCTTTTAGATATCTTAATCCCATTTATAATATTATAAAACGGGAATGAATCAATCAGTCAATTAATTACATTAGGCCATTGTACTATCTACCTAAGATATTATTTAATTAGTTTAATGTCTTCTTTAAAAGCAATAACCACAGATTATTTGTTATTTTGTGAGTGTACCGAGAACTGGGTCAAAAAGAACTCAATATCGAAGAGCCATTGACTCGGTATTATTACGCTTACCGACCTGCTGGTCGGCGGCTGGACATTGCTATTGTTAGAAAACTATTGCACAAACGTCCATTAAGGTTTAATGGCGTCTTTAAGCTCTAATGATTGTCAGATTTGTATGGGTAATGTCACTTTAAACTAATGACGCTTTATGCAACTGACTGTTCGCCCTCTAAAGTTGAACGTCCACTGTGTCCGTTGGCACGCAACGGACGCACCGTACGCAACGGAATGTATGGATTCGTTGATAACATACGGCAAATACATTACAGATTTTTAATCAAAGACTTTGTTTTGACATTGGCAGCGAAGTAATGTTCTACGGAAGTAATCCATGACGTGATTGGTAAGTGACATTCTTTTTGCCATCTATGAAAAATCCGTTGCGTAACGTGTGTCCCTTGCATGCGTGCGGACACAGTGGATGTTCACTTTTATGAGATATAAAATTCTAAACCTTAGTTATTATTATTTAGTACCTAATAATTAATATTACCATTTTATAGGAGTCTATATAGTTGCCCAGCATCAGTAAACCGAGCCACCAGTTGTCACGGCAGGGTCCCACTTCGTTACCGCTATATCGCTTCCAAAGAGGTCCAGAGCCGAAGTGCTCAAACATCACGGCTGTGAAGAAAATCACTACAGCGAAACCAACCACCAATCTAGAAACATATTGTTTTTATTTATTAAATGGAAAATATACATTTATTAAAACTAAAACACATGGTTTAAATATGTACTTATAAATTTTTTAAGAAACACTGTAAGAGAAAATTATAAAGCAAATTTTCTTATTACGTATTATAAAATGCTGTTAAAATGTTGGTTAGTTGATTATTCTTGATTCTTCTGCAAATTCACATACAAATCAAAAGCTCAAAACGAGAACACAATATAGATACATATTGAACAAATAGATACATATTGAACAACATCACACATGAGTGTGTTGCTTAGATCACAAAATAAGGAGCTGGAACAACACTCAACACACAACGAGTTGAGACAACACTCAGAACTGAGACAATATAGAAAAGTTCATTCTCTATAATGATCCGATCGGGAATCGAATCCGGAACCCGAGAAATAGCAACTCTTTGAAGCCGGCGTGTGTCAATCGGTCACGAAAATAATAGCTATTTATTTCTATAATATTTATCATGAATTTAATGAGTCAATAGAACTTATTTTGATCATGTCCAAAGATCTCATTATTCAATAGGGCCCTGCGAGATACTTCTGTAACGAATGTAATAGCGCCAGTATTCAGGTAAGCGCTTGGAAAAGTACAACAGGAACACTAGTGAACACATTCTATTATCCTTTATTTTACAGACATTTTTAAATAAGACTTTTAAAATGATTTACATAGGTAATGATAAATCTAATATATCACTGAGAACTGTTTTGGTCAGTTATTGTTTTATTGGCCATTGAAATAAGCGTGCAAAGGTAGGGCACGACATCTTACCGAATAATATGACGGTATTTCGTTTCCTTTTACTACTTTGACATGTTTTTTGGTGGATAAATTTGGAATAAACGACTTGTTGGAAACTTTGCTATCATATTCATATTGATAATTCTTGAAACATGAAAATTAAAAGTAAAAGTAGTAATTAAACTGGAAACCGGTAGCGGGCCACTAGGCTACGGAGATACGAGAAAGGATGGCGTAGTGGTAAGGCGAGGTTGTACGAAGTTAAAACTTTTAAACCCATTTTATTTTAAGTGATATAATTAAAAGCACATTCGTAAGTCTATGCATTTTTAATTAATGACCCATCTTTTTTCTACTCTTTGTCACTAACATTTTAAAAATTGAAACTAATTCCCTAGCAAAGAGGTTCAAAGGCTCTGCTTATATTTATCAATTAAAAATCATTTTATGAAAATGAAACATCTGGACGACTATTCGATTGTTTGCGAAAAAAAAACAAATATAAATTTCTATAATTGACTCGATAGAAAAAAAACGCAAAGATGAATCTAAATTGCTATTGATTTTAAGACTAATATATAACTATAACAATATGTACTAAATTAAGTATTGATATAATCTAAAAATATCAAAACAATTTTTATGACATCATTTTTTTTTTCTTTCATTAAAAACGTATGAAATGAGCGCGTGACCCTTGATGCGTATTTATAAGTTGTAAGGGAGCGCAAGCGGAGGTAAACAGAATCTTAATTCATTAGTCCTCATTGGAAAGTGCATACGGTATGTCGGCAAACTTATCAGCCAATGGAAACGAACCTTAATAAGTGGTAGCAAATTTTTAAATAAATAACACTTACCGTACGTATCTTCTGACTATCATCACAGAGATAGGAGGTAAAGTTTTAAATTGATGAAGCGCTTTAGCTGTCAAGAAAGCTGATATCAGGAAAAATGTATCCACTAAAAGGTCGGCATGCAGAACGAACCAACCAATTATTTTCTTACCTTCCTAAAATAGACAATTGTATCCAAATGTAACCCAAATGCATAAGCAATTTTCATATGGGCCCGTCATAGGTCCTCCGCGTTGAAGAAGGTACTTTAAACCGGCGGTTCTAACTGCATTTGTAGTCGATAACATACCGCTCACTGAATACTACAGTGGCACAACTCAAAAACCATAATATCGAGAAACGCTCTCTGAAGTTATGAAAATTTAATATTTTTATAATTATGAAAATATTTTTATTAGCGTAACAGTTAAATCGTTTGTATTATATTATTACTGTTAAGTTTTTTTATTTTTTCTTTAAATTATCTATGGGATGCCACCACAATGTTGTGGCGTTTTCTCGAAATAATGGTTTTTGAGTTGTGCCACTATTCAGTGGGCGATATATCGAATGCATTTGTTATATGGACGATTTATTATATTGTAACGGTGTGCCATGCCACCGTTTGTTTTCCTAGGTTTCAGTATGCAAACTTTTTGTTTTTGAAATTCAACATCATTTCATTTTATTACTCGTCTTTCGTAATTTAAAATTTTGACTAATCAATTATACTCTTTATGGATGTCAGTTCGTAAGAAATTCTTCTATGCACAACATAAAAATTATTATTCAGTATTAATAGTATAAATTTTATTATGTAATTTTAAAATAATTTATGTATTGTGATAAAAAATGTGATATTGTGGTACAAATTATATAACATATGAACTAAATTGTAATCTGTATTTTGGACGATCCAAGAGTTTAACTAAAAGCCCGACAAGGGGTATGTATTCGTTTATTTGATAAGTATGTATTAGTTAAGTAACTTACGAACTGTTTTTTAAATTTATTTTTGTTAGTTACAGTTTCTTATTTACCCCTTTATAATTAATAAATCTATACTCGAGCTAATCAGCCTTATTAATTGACCCAAGCACCGAACCCGTCACAATATTTACACACGAAACTTCAATTCATGAACCTTTTTTTATATACAAATTGCTATCATACCATTGAAAAGCCTAAAGCAAAGAACGTTAAAGATCTGACAAATCACATCTATGAGTATACTAATATTATAAGGGTAATCTTCGTTAATCCCAATCATGAAATTATTTCATCTACGAAATGCTACATTATACGCGGATCTTATAAGTTCAATTAAAATGGTAGTTCCAAAGAAATGTCATTTAGATTCTTTGCGCCGGGTCTCAAAAGTGCAGTTGTTAAGTAATGAAAATTCTTGTTGATGAATAAGTAATCAACTTTTATAACTATCAAGTATAATTTTTTAAATTATATTTGACTTATGACCGAAGTAACGTAAGATTATATTGAACCAAAGTAAGAAAATTATATTAAGATTATATTGAACCAAAGCAAGAAAATACTCCGTGTATCCGGCCTTCATAAAAGGTAATTTCTCGACTTTGTTAAAAGTTATTTTTTAAACGGCTTTATCTTATGCTGTCAATAATATTTACCTACGTCCTTTTTCCTTTTAGCATAAATTTGATTTCTTACTCACATCCGTTTCTATTCCGTTAATAATGGGCCCTCCATCAATAAATGCGCCTTGGTGACATATCACGATGCCACAAACTGAAAGATATCTAATGCCGTATATAGATTCAATGCCTTCCTTTCTAAGTTTCAGGAGAGCGCTTAAATTTTTTTTAAGGCAAAACGCTTCGCTAATGGTTTTATCTGTAAACAAATCCAAATAAGATCATATTACACACACATTTTTATACAATAATCAAATAAAGCCCATATTACACTATCCAATTTCTAGGGTCCCTTACACTGTCGGCATTTTTACGCTTACGATAATTGTTGTTCTGTTTGTGATTGATTGAGGTAAGGATTGGGAAAGAAGCAATTTGATACTTCTAGCCTAGTATATGCTAATTTTTATTTTTATTTATTTAATTGTATTTTGCTGTGGTGGTGCTAATGATTATTTGGTTTTGGTTATTTTAGTATACTATAGTAGGGGAGACCGGGGCTGGTTGGCAGTAGGGGTAGGTTGACTAACTATCAAAAACTCGTCTGTCACAATTGCCTTGAACGCGGTAGTGAGTCGCAGGAGTCCGTTACATCCCCCCGCTTGGTCACCGGGAACGCGGCGTAAGACACGCTTGTCGTTTGAGAGAACGAGCGTAATATTGAAAAACAATGCAGATAAGTAATTATTTATGTCGTAATGTTACTTGTAATAATGCCTATTTATTCATGGTTATTGATTGTAAAAGAATTTATAACGAATGTTTGATATATGTTCTTGCTTTTATGTATCATTCTATTTGATTACGTCGCCAAATTGAGGTTATGGCACGTGATTAAAAATTAAAAGGTGGTTCGGGGCTAGTAGACTAACGCATGACGGGGCTGGTTGACCACCTGGTGGTTAACCAGCTCCGTAATATTATATTCCACACATAAAATGAAGTAGGTGTTTTTAAAATTTTATCCAGAAATTGTTGTTTCAGGATCAGGCGAACATACAAAAGAAAGATTAAGAGAGGGAGCACACCCAAAGATGTAATAGACAGAGCATGTCAACAAGTTATCTTTGACAAAAAAAAGTATATATTGTTCAGTGAAAGAATTTGATATACCATATAAAATACTTCAACGCCACGTCGTAAATATAATGAAAATAAATATAATAACATTACAAATAATAAGTATAATTACATATGATTATTTGTTACCAAATGGTTAAAG